TTGCTCTGGAGCCATCCTTCCTGAGTGAAGACAAAAACATGTGAGTCGGAGGCTAAAAAATTGTGGGCTGACTCACACTAACTCAACTTAGAGGGAACACTGGCTACCAGATGACTTGATACCATGCAACTTGCCTGGGCCCAGTGGCAGCCTTTGAGGGGTACAGATAATAAATATATATCTCCAGATCAGGCATGGATTATCAAGTGCCACCCAGTAACACAACACAAAAGTAAAGTTTTAACACTAATAAAGAAGAAGAAGAGATTGGATTTATACCCTGCCCTTCAATACTCGAAGGTGTCTCAGAGCAGCTTACAGTCTCCTTTCCCTTCCCCTTCCCCTCACAAAAAACACCCCGTGAGGTAGGTGGGACTGAGAGAGCTCTTTCAAGAACTGCTCCTGAGAGAACAGCCCTGAAAAAACTTGTAACTGACCCAAGGTCACCCCAGCAGCTGCATGTGGAGGAGTGGGGAATCAAACCCGGTTCTCCCAGATTAGAGTCCACGCTCCTAACCACTACACTAAACTGGCTCTCAGAGAAGCTAAGAAAAAGAACATTAGCTCTGCAAATGTCTTCTTCAATGCCAAAAATGCCTTTCAAAAGGTGGAACATTGTTGATATCATTTGAAGTACACAGAGCATTTGGCTTTGGAAACGCATTTACTGGCTGGGCAAAAGCAATATACGCTCAATCAACACCAAAGTATTTTACTGCACCCCTCCCTGATCTCTTTCCCAGATCTGTATACCTTATTGGGTACAATGGTTGCATCACTTCAGTATCTCAGGATCATTTCCCAGAAATCTTAAAGCAACAAGGCCACCTTTATAGGGAAAGCACAGCTACATTTTGCAAGGCTAAGATCTATTCACTGCGGGGCAATCCACTTGCTTATTAGTATGGAACAAAGGTAAGCTGCATAGAAACTATTGAATTCCTCCAGCTCTTGGGACTGAAACACTAAGTCAATTTCAGTGCAGAAAAGTCCAAACTTGAGAGAGCAAGACTGGAAGGAAAAGGCACCAGAACAACAACCAGCACTTCTGAAATCCACATAACCAGCGACTTTAGAAGATCCGAGCAAATGATGATATTTCCTCTAAAGTGCCAGAACTTGAATGAAAACAGGTACTTCTCAGGCCATATGGCTTCCTTATGCCATCTAAGGTTTTGATCTTTAATTATACAATAGCTTGCTAAGGATAGTTTGTGACGGCGGGGCACACTGGGTTGTCTTCTCTAGAATTTCACACCTCCTCTGCCCAATTATGCTTTTTTGGGCTGCTCAGCAAGTTAAAGTACATAAGAGAACATAAGGGAGGCCATGTTGGATCAGCCCAATGGCCCACCCAGTCCAACACTCTGTGTCACACAATGGCCAAAACCCAGGTGCCATCAGGAGGTCCACTGAGGGGGGCCAGAACTCCAAAAGCCCTCCCACTGTTGCCCCCCAAGCACCAAGAATACAGAGCATCACTGCCCCAGACATAGTGTTCCATCCATACCTTGCCGCCAATAGCTACTGATGGACCTCTGCTCCATACCTTGCCTCCATCCATACCTTGCCGCCAATAGCTACTGATGGACCTCTGCTCCATAAGTTTATCTAATCCCCTCTTGAAGCCGTCTATGCTTGTAGCCACCACCACTTCCTGTGGCAAGGGTATACAGGATCTGTCTTCACTGTAGGGCTGCCAAGTGGGGGCAGGGAAACCCCCGCTTTGGAGGCCCGATTTCTGCCGCGGTGGAATCGGGCCCCGGGGGGAACTCTGCCCCCCGAAGCTGCGTCACCGGAGCTGGTTCCCCCCCTGACTATCTGGGCCACACCCCCAACGTGCTCTACATCATGCGTCACTTCCTGTGACGTTCTGGCGGCACACACACACGCGCGTCTGCAACAGCTCTCGGATCGAGCCGACGCTCCCCTGCTGGTGAGTAGAACCGACTTGGCAACCCTACTTCACTGGTTTTCAGTTTGTTGAACGTTACATAAGGGATGACAGAGATCAAACTGTTCTGGGCCCTGCGACAACCTTTTTTTGCTGCTTGGGGAAAACCTCGCTCTCCCCCACCCTCCTCTAATCTCCCAGGAAGGGGAGTTGTAAAAAAGAGATTTGTTTTGGTCATTTTTTATTTTTTCTCTAAGTAGGCATATCAGACTGGATCTCTAGTAGCTACCTCCACTTACTAATAGGCAGAGCCAAGAACGCAGACAATTCCCCCTCATATAAGATCAGCTGGCCCCCAGGGGCAGTCCTAGTGATTCTGAGGACCTGGACAAAAGTCCAGGATGGGGCCCAAGAATCACTGCCACCCCCCAAAACAAGGAGTAGCCCATTGGCCCAGGAACCGTCACCTGAGTGGTAGCAGAACCACACATGAATGAGAAATGATGTGGCTATACAGATGCCTCCTCTTTTTTTTCTGGGGTCTTCTCAACATACCCATTGCTGTACCCAGAATTTGCCTTTTGAAAAGTAAAGCTTATGCCAGTTTTGACTATGGCTGGGCACAGTCAGTAGTTTCCCTCTTTCTCTCTTCCTTTCATTCCATTGAGTACTGGCTCTTTGTGTCTTCCCCTTCATTTTTCTCCTTGAAAAGTAAAGCTTATGCCAGTTTTGAGTATGGCTGGGCACAGTCAGTAGTTTTCCTCTTTCTCTCTTCCTTTCATTCCAACGAGTACTGGCTCTTTGTGTCTTCTCCTTCATTTTTCTTCCTCACCCCCTTTCATTCCACGATCCCCCCCCCATTGTTCTCCTTTGCTTTCATGATCTGCCTTCAATTTCTCTCTCCCCTCACCTAATGCGTTGGGATGTACTTCTATCTGCAGTCCTGGAAGGAAAATTTAACAAGACTCCTTATGAAGAAAGGATATGCCCCTGTTGTGCGGATGGTATTGAGTCTGTAGAACATGTAATTTTTGATTGTAAGGCGTATAATAACATCTGTGAGTCTCTTCCTTTCCCTAAGACACTCCCTCTCTCTCGCAGGCAAAGAATTTGCCTTTTAAGAAATTTGCTATCAGATAGCCGGGCAGAAGTTACTTATCGGGTGGCTAGGTTCGAATGGCTTGCCCTACAAATTAGAAAATAGTATAGTAGCTCGAAAAGAGGAGAATTAAGATTAAGTTTTATTAATTTTAACCATTATGGCTCTTATGGTGTTTTTATAACCAGTCTTAAAATTCTGTTCCTATTTTAATGTGATATCTTTTACCCAAGCTACAAAGTAACATTGTTTTACGTGTTGGTCAATGACCGTGAATAAAACTTATCTATCTCCCCTCACCTTCTAATTGTTCTGTCCCCCCCCCCGTTTTATTTTCCAGTTTTGCTCTCACTCCTCCTTACCCCTACCCCGGATGGAGCCAAAATCCTATTTTAATGTGATATCTTTTACCCAAGCTACAAAGTAACATTGTTTTACGTGTTGGTCAATGACCGTGAATAACACTTATCTCCCCTCAACTTCTAATTGTTCTGTCCCCCCCCCCATTTTATTTTCCAGTTTTGCCCTCACTCCTCCTTACCCCTACCCTGAATGGAGCCAAAATGTACTTAAGAGAAGACCAGAATATCTCTGTTAAAGGGCAGGGGGATGGTCATGCTAATACTTACTGTCTACCGAAGTAGTAAAAAGGTGATCCCCTCCCACCCACACACATCCCCTTCACATGCAAGGTGATGGAATATTAATCTGCAATAATGGTTATAAAGGTGCAAAAGTGAGACCGATTTCACACAAGAGCCCCGCTTCTATTGGTCAACTTCCCACTCGAAGCCGCGTGGCCGTGTTTTGACCCGTGGTTTGCCCGATTTTCCCTGCGGTTTCGTGATCCTGTTTTTTGAGGATCTCAAAACCGCGGGGGAAATTGGACAAAGTTGCGGGTCAAAACGCGGTCGTGTGGCTTCGAGTGGGAAATTGACCAATAGAAGCAGGGCAAAGGGAGGCGTGACTGCGGCGCAGCTCTTGCGTGAAATCAGTCTGAGTGTCTTTCTGGATTAAAGAGTACAGAGCACAAGTCTGTCATCTTGAAGATAGAATACCTTCCTTCCATACATTCAAACTTTTGCTTCCCCTTAGCCACATCACTCCTTTACTTTCATTTCTCCATTTCTATTATGGTCCTGAGTTGCAGAGCTGACCTAGTCCTGCTTAAAGACTTTCAGCAGCCTCATACAAGATTTGCAAGCACAAACACTGGAGGTATGATAGACAGAGCTGTGAGTACAGCAGCAGCAGCTGCCAGATCAGCCAAAAGAGCCACACTGATTTTCTTGACCCATCTGTCTCTTTGGGTCCCAGACAGCTGCCAATGATCTTTTCATCTAACACCCCTTTTATGCTATGTAAGGGTACAAGGGGGAACTGAAATAGTCTTCTTACTGTTCACCAAAGTCTTACTGTACATGAAGCTTTTGTGAACTCTATACAGTCCATCTCATCACATGTTAGAAAAGTATCCTACATTGGTAAACTCATATATGTGCACATGTATATGTGTGTGTGTGTGAACATATAAAATCACAAAACCAGACAGACAGCTAAAGAGAGAAATATGGAGTGGCGCAGACTATGCTTATGGCGTAAGCAACATAACAAGGATCTTCACAGGCTGAAACAAAGAGATTCTCTATTCCAGATTTCACACTGATAATCAAATTGTCTTGATTTTTTGACAAATGCAGTTTTCAGGTTTCATAAGAATAGAACATGTCAAAAACCAAAAACGGGGGGGAAATTTTTTTTTCTTTTTCTCAATACTCATAAACTAAGCAGACATTGCCAGTGATACTGTGTATAATATGATGTGATACTATGTATAGTGTTCTAAAATGTACGAGATGCGTGTTGCAAGCATGTTACCTGGAAAATAATAAAATATCAATTAAAAAAAACCAGCCAAATTAACTGTTTACACCTGTAAAATTACTGCAGACTACAAGACAGTTTAAGCACAGAGAAAATAAGCAGATGGTTCAGAATTGTATTTACCTAGATACCGAAGTACTGCTTCTAAAGGTTTTCTAACAACTTGCTTTAACAACAACGGATTTTCGGTGGCTTCTGGTAAACGAGCTGTGCCTGAGAATATTGGAATACATAATACTGTAACAGAGAATACTTCATTTACATATTAACAGAGAAAAAATACTGCTAGAGCCAGCCTCTTGGGGTGTTTCAGTAAACTAACTGAATAATGGAATGTATCAAATCATAATATTCGGTAATAATTCTGATCACTTTATGTATATTTTTAGTCATTAATCAGAGTATCTGTTCAGAACATTCCACCTTACACGTAACATGCTTGAAATGGTCAACAGCACAACGTAGCTCGGTAAAGACTCACATTCTGCTTTGATTGCGGCGCTATTGATAGGCATGTAAGGAAGACGTGCTGCATGCCAAGGTCGCAAGATGTCCCTACATAGTCGCCTGGCAAGCCTGGTCATCTTTGTTGTATGTAGATAAAAAGCTTGCCGTGTTTTCATGGCAAACTTCGGACTCCCGCCATTCCGTAGCGGTGCACCATGAGGGCTCTAAAGGAGGCAAATTTGTGACAGAGCTTGATGGGTAGGACATTCTTGCAAGGACAGGACAGCACTCAGATGCACACACTCTAGAGTTTAACAGTTCATCATGTCCTTACTGTCTCTGAGCAACTAGAAAAACTACTGCTGCTCAACGGAAAATTCGCGGATACTCTGATAAGAAAGCCTTTAAATACATTGCTATGGACAGTAATTGAGAACTTGTACTGGGCCTCATTATTTGTGCCCATATTTTCACTGTTGCATGCTGGAAGAAAACAAACCCTCCATCTTTGATGCACTGCTATAAGCATGTTTGGACCTTTGCTGTACTCTTTAAACTAACATATTATGGAAAGCCAGAATCTACTGGTAATAAATGTATAAAGAAATGGGACATTGTTCATAATATATTGGAACGATAGATTTAACGATAAAACACAATCTTCTGCTCTTTTTGGACTGCTACAAATAGATGGTTTATTATTAGACATATCAATAATCCATATGTAAACCATTAAAAGCTACCGAAATCAAATTCTCAATTAACACTTACAAAAAGGGACTTTTAAGGTTTTAAGGTGATATTAGACCTTGTAGATATCTTAAATTAAAAATATTTGAGATATTTTTCCAGCTTTGCATTAGTTACTTACATTTTGCTAGGATCCAAGGATAAGGATTACGTTCTGGACATATTGTATCTACTTAATTTCTAAGCTCTGAATATAAATCCCATGGCACTCTGTAAGCCATGGAGTGACTACCATTGTGTTGTGGGCGTGGGGGGGGTGTGATTACATAATGAGGTCAGAAGACGTAGTTTCCAGGACAGAGTGTATGACATTACATGGTTCAGTCAAAAGGATAATTCAAGGATACCCAACTTTGCTCGAGTCTGTAGGCACTTTGAGTAGTGGGTACCACTACAAAATATCTGGCATGGGTATGTTTCCTTTCCAAAGTCAATATGCACTGCAGCAAGCAACAATCCCTTGCTGGGGTCACACATACCACACTCCAGAGTAGCATTACAATTCTCTACTTTTGGGACAAGTCTACACACAGTTGCCCCCAACTAGGTATCTCTCCTTGCCAAGACTCAACAAAAGACAAATTACTATGGGACAGGAAAAAAGTAACTGAGAAACCAGCAACATTCTCTATTTCATTCATCCTTTGGGGGGAGGGTGGATTGTGAAGATTCCCCCAAGTGGATTGCAGAGATGTCTGGGGAGAGTTGTGAGCACATCCCCCCTAGGGAACAACTGAGGATTGCATTTTTCACATTGGGAGGAGGGTATAATGGGGGCGGGGAATGAACCACTCCATCAAGAACGGGCAAAAGAGGCCAACATGGTTGCTGGTGTTCAGGCAGGCAAGCTAGTGGGCAGAAGCTGAGCTGAGCAGGAACTGCTAGGTGGATGAGAAGACAGACAGGTGGAAAGGAGAGAGAGGAAACAGGGAGGCAGCAGGTAGTCTATCTAGTGGTACAGAAGGAACACTTGGGAAATTACTGCTTACGGCTTCCATTTTCCTCTTTGTCCATCTCTGTCTGACCCCAATCTAGTTCCATCATAGCACACGCCACTGCCTAACCAACCCTTGAAATTGTGCCCGGCTGTTGCAGTTTACACCAGACAAAGTTTCTAGACAGTTTTTGGCATCCCCTGCACAGAATGCATTAAAGTAATTTAACCTGGATATAATCACAGCATGGATACTTCTCAAGGAAAGGCTAAAGCTGATTAAAAGGGGTACGTGCCACAAAGGAGACCTGAGCCCCATTACACAGATGACACTTCTCAAGGAAAGGCTAAAGCCAATAAAAAGCGGTACATGCCACAAAGGAGACCTGAGGCCCATTACCTTCTCCAAGTACCTGCTCAGGTATTCCACAGACCCACCTGACTATCTGTTAAGGAGAAATAGAGCTGGGTGCCATCTACATATTGGTAGCATCTCACCTTAAATCTCCTGTTGTTCTAACGTGTTCATGTAAACTCACCAGCAACAAAAGAAACACAAGCCCAGGGAGTAGCCCCTGCAACAGACCCTCCAGCCACCCTGTCCTCACATCTGCCCAAGTGACACAATCACAGGACCCAACATCATCAGCCGTCAAGCACTCTTTTACTTGCACACCCTCTAATGTGATATAATATGCTATAATGTGCCAGTGATGCCCTTCTGCCCTTTACGCGGGTCAGATGAGACGGAGAATAAATGGGCTCAAACTGAATGTTAAAATGGAAACTCTCAGAAAGCCATGGGGGAGCATTTCAACCTCCCTGGCTAATCAACCACAGACTTACAGGCTGCAGTAATTCACCAGAAAAGGGAGACTCCAGTGAGAAGCTACTGAACTGGGATTCATAGGCAGATTTGATATTATTAGAGGTGGATTCAGTGTGGGATGATTAGCTCTCTATAAACACTATTTAGAACCATCAACATTTGAGAGTGGACTCCACCAACTCAGAGTTGATAATTTACTCTTCAGACTGGATCATGTAATGTAACACATCTTCTTCTTGAGGAACTGGGACATCTGATCTCTTTTTGTAATATCCCCCCCTCCCAGACACACTCTTGGTAGCTCTGGAAATATCTGCAAACCGAATGTAATAACATATGCCTCAGATGACGTATTCTCTGACTTACAAAATCTTATGCCACAATATAAGGAGCCACAACAATGTCATTTTGCCTGTCACAAACTAAGGCAGCTACTCCTCAGGCCAAACTAGATAGTATAACGAAAAGACAGGAAACAGTATAAAGGAGGAGGAGGAGGAGGAGATTGGGTTTATACCCCGCATTCACTACCCGAAGGAGTCTCAAGAGCACCTTACAATCTACTTTCCCTTCCCCTCCCCACAACAGACACCCTGTGAGGTAGGTGGGGCTGAGAGGGCTCTTTCGAGAACTGCTCATGAAAGAACAGCTCCTAAAGAACTTGTGACTGACCCAAGGTCACCCCAGCAGCTGCATGGGGAGGAGTAGGGAATCAAACCTGGTTCTCCCAGATTAGAGTCCGCGCTCTAAGCACTAACGACTACACCAAACCAGTACACCAAATATGTCCAGCAAGATGCACAAAGACAACACTGCATGTTGGGGGGACCCTAAGAATTCCACTGGTAAGACTGTGCTGCTATGAAGAGTAAAGGCAGAAACATACTACTTATTCAAACTGGCAGAGGCATGGAGATAAAGAAGGGAGGGTGCCAAGGAAAATGTGGGGCTAGGGAGATACTTCATAAAACGCTAGAACTGCCGCCTTTTTTTTGGCAGGAGAGTTAAAAAGTCAAAACATGGGCAGTGGGTCTATGATAACAAGTAC